ATTACGAAACCCTCTCTCTCTCTCATCTACTACATCTTTACCTTTTCTTCATTGTTTTTCCTCTACCAATAGAAGAATATATATAGGAAAACCAAAACTCTATCTCTAGCCTAACTTCCTAATTAGAATAGGATTCAAACTCCTAATCATGATAAAACTCAAACTCCTAATCATGATAGAACTCAAACGGTTAGTTCTTAGCTACTTATCGTAGCTCCTCACACACTGGAAACTGACATCCCCTATGATCCTCAGGTGCATGGATTCTATGACGAGTGTCTGCGTAAATATGGGTCTGTCAACGTATGGAGATATTGCACGGATATATTTGATTATTTAAGGTAACTTGCCTTCGTTTCATTGTATGTATCATGTTCTTTTTTCTTTTCTTTGTATTATTTTTCTAACGTTCACCTTTACCCTCCGATTCAACCCATCGTACCAACGGTTTCAACTGTTGGTGCATGGTTTTTTTATATTTTAAGAATTAAAATTAAAAAAATATCAGCACCAACGGTTGGAACCGTTGGTACTGCTAAAACAACCGTTGGGGCAAACTTTGCCCCAACGCAATTTGTCCCAATGGGTGATTTTTTTGCCCCAACGGTTTAAACCGTTGGGGTCTGCCCCAACGGTTTGAACCGTTGGGGCTGACCTATTTTGTACTAGTGTTCTGACACATTCAAGCGTATCAAGGCTGTAAATTTTGATGTTAGATTCAGCATATGCTTTCATCTGTTGAATCGGAAAAAGTAAGTCAGAATCAAGCTGGTTGAGTACTATGTTGGAATTATGTTACTGATTAAATTCCCTCGAAGAAACAGAAAACTTCTCTCAAGAAGGACTACATAGTTTAGTGTTTCCAGAGGGAATGTAATGTATTCAGCATTGTAGAACAGGAAACCATGATTTGATGTAAGAATTAGCTCTGATTTGTAGACAGAAAGTAATTGCAAACTTATGATGAGGTCTGGCTATGAACCTATCTTGGAAAGAACCAGGAGCTGACTGAGCTTGCATCTCAACTAGTATGACCATGTTCTATCATAATTCACAAAAATTGAGATTTATGACGAGCTCCAAATGTCTTCATGCATTTGATAATACCTTTACAGGGAACAGGGGGGTATTATTTTAACGATACATGCGGTGCAAAAATGTTGTACATAGTATCTCGCACGTTTGTTGTGCATGTGAGTTTCACGTGCATATGCATAGTGGGAGAGGATTGCTCCTCTCAAGTGTATATAGAAACAAAAAGGCTAGTTGAGCATTGAAGGATGTAGCTTGCTTTAGGGCAATTGATAGAAGAAAGATTTGTCGGCTCTCATGATTTCCTCTTATCAAGGTTTATACGGTCCGGATACCTGACCTGAAACAGAAGAATCAGTGGAGTTGAACCAAAACTTATTACTGAGTAACAAATAGCTAGCAATGGAAGAGACTAGTGACCGTGAAATTTAACCAACATTGTGACACAACAAAAAATACTAGTAGTTTGATGCATTGGAAAGTGATGAGCATATGATTTGTGGATAAAGATGAAACAACTCTGGAAGGACTATTGACAGCCTTCGAATGAAAATGACTAACATGGAAAAGATGTTTGCAGGCAGTGCTCCCTCGTCAGCAGGACATCTTTAGGATGTCTTATCATCCACATAAAAAATGGTGGTGAAATGCATGGTTAATAATTCAGAAAAAGTACCAATTTGAATACTTAAACCAACAGTCAAATAGTGATTCCAACAGAAATACAGATGAACACTCATTGGCATGATAATTTTGCTAGCCATTCTAATTTCCGACAATGTGCATGTCTCTAGATTTGTTATTCAACATCCGACCAAACTATCTTAGATTTTCCATACTATTGGAATTTCTTAATCCCATCCCCACATTACAAACTTTATCTCAGTTATGCATATCTCGACTTGTAAAGTATATGCTATATGTGCTGGCAATAATATGCCTTTCATAGTTTCCTTATTCAAAAAATAAAAAAAGTTTCATAGAATAGGGACGAAACTCAATAGCAGAAACATAGGGCAATCAGGATCTATATGTATTTTACACTGATTTTTTAATGTACCAGTAAAACATACTACAGGCACATATCAAACAAGAGAAACAGAAAAAATCATGCAGGTTTAGATAAATTACTATTAACTCATTCAAGGAGACATCATAAAGAGCCCTATTCTTCAGATGCTAGTAAATGGCTAGGACTACAGCCTGTAAATAGTAGCAGACCTAAAAAGTTTCTTGGTTGTCATCACAATAGAAAAGCTGAAGTAGAAGAAAGAAAGTGTCTCCAATTAAGACTTAATGAAGAAATTGGGGGCATATATCATCACGACTCAAGAGCTGCCTATGTAGAGTCCTAGCACTTTGTTGTATATGTAAATAAATCTCTGTCACATTTTCCATCCTTGTACTCATGACTGAACTCTAAAATCAAATCCAATATTTTTCTATCTTACAAATCTGGACCCTTTTATTACTAAATTATTAACTGATTGACGATTCAAAACTATTTCTCAACTTCATACAATTTACAGTCATCAAGGAATGCATCAGGTTAATAACAGGTCCACATGCGATATTCCTAAGGCAGCCACAAACTTAGACAGATTGAGGGGACCATGTCCCGTTCCACTGAACATGTAGATAGGAAGCCACCAGAAAGAAAAATCTTCCAACTAATCATACTATCCTTGACAATTAAGATAAAATAATTTGTAAATAAAAAATTACGACCACTATGTGGAGCAAGAAAGTTATCTACTGTGGACAAATAAAGTTATATAAAATGAACTATGAAAATCATTCGGGAATGCTAAACAAAATCACAGATGACGCTGCAGTACATGGAAATCTTGTCTGAGCAATACCTTAAAAATCATACAAATAACATATTATGACCAATACTTATAGGCACTGAATAGATACTAGATAGAGCCAGTTAATCACGGTGATAGGATAAGTAACCATGTTTCTTGAAGGCACTTTTAAATTATTGTAAATAATAGAATAAAGCATGGATGACCTAAGCATTCAACTATCACTCCTCAGCATTATCAAAAACTTCAAAAAGTAACAAACCAACGAATAAAGGAACAAATATCAGACAAGAAAGGTAGGAGCATTTTTTCAAAATCTTAACCAATAAGACACCATGTAAAATCTATTTTCACAGAGCTATTGGTCAGAAATTGTACTAACCGAGAAGTGCCTCTCGTAAAGAGGTTTTTTAAAGAAGAAAGTATATAAAAAAACATGTTGTCAAAACTTGAAAGTTTTACAGTCCAGATAATATAAACAGGCTGAAGGCCTTAGATGTATATTCAGAAGAGCCTTACTTTCAAGGCTAGCAGAAGCAGAAATGTTTCAACAGAATAAAATCCTCGATCAACAAAATCCCCTAGAAACAAGTAATTTGTCTTTGGGCAATCACCTCCAACTTTGAATAACTCCTTCATGTCATAGAATTGTCCATGAATATCTCCACATATCTGAGAAGGCAAAATCAAAGACTGTTAGTCGCTGAGCATGATACTAGAATCCTAAATTAATGTTCAATCTTTGAGATAAGAACCCTAGAATGGATGATATACCTTAAATAAGTTTTCAAATAAACTACCAGGACAATGGTGCACATTGTCTTGAAGCAAAAGCAGGAAGATACCACTAGCATTAAACTAAATGCATGAAAAGAATAGCCATCACATTATAAACCCAAAAACATACTCCCAAAGTCCCTCCAACCATTACACCAAAACTCCAAGTTATGGTGAGGGCTGAGTATTATACTTTTATAAATCTAACACATACGGAGAAGAATAAATACCATGCTCCTGTTGTACTCACATAACAGTTATATGTTTAATCTCTCACTTAATTCCTAAATTTAGAGAAGCCAATAATAACAAACTCCAACTAATAGGCCGATTCTTCAATTACCAGAGCTTCTTCTTCCTCTCTACAATTGCTCAATGAATAAAGCATCCCCAAGAAACATTCTTAGCTCACAACGGTCAACCCCGGGCTCACAAACTCCAAGAATCCCTAAAATTCAACAACTATAACGGTAGCAAAATCAATAACAGAGCACCCATCCAATCAATCCAGCACAATGTTGACCACAACCCGAAACCCTAAAACATAAACACAAAATTGTCCGAACCCCTTAAACTTCGGTTTTAACAAAACCCTAGAACCAAGTTAACCAATCCAAACAGTTGCTAGGTCGAGCCCAGCCCAAAATAAGGCAAGTACCCATTACAGAACAACGCTCGAACAGCTAGGATTACAGCTCAAAAATAGGGCGAAAAGGGAAAATTAGGGTTTTGAGGAGCGTAATCTTACAGTCACGGGAGCATCGACTCTCTGAACGTTGCTCTCCTCGACGAGGATCTCGATGGCTTTGAGGCAAAGAGCCTTCACCTCCGATTCCTTAAGAGGCTCGCATCGCTTCAGTTGCTCGATTTGTCGGTCTAAATCCGACATTTTCGCGCTCTCTCGAGCTCTCCAGCGAGCTAGAGAGCTCTCTTTTCCTGTTTGAGGAGGAACCTTTTCCCCCTTTTCCCTTTCTTTGTTTTCCCTGCCGCCGCTTTGTGCGGGTGAGCGCACCGGCTGGTGTTTGTACAGTGGGCCCACCCCCCTGTTTTGGCTCTTGCGTGCCGCCCGCGAGTTGGGCGGCCGCGAGCCAAAAAGCAGGCCCCCAAGCCAGATGAGGTAACGGGCTCATTCTCCAATAAGGAAAATGGTCATTGCTGATGAACATGCAGAAGGATGAATTTCATAAAAACTACAATGAAATTGGAGGGTTTAAAAAAAACTATTATATATTTTTATTAAAAAATATCATGAGGTTTTGAAAATTCGTTGCCAACACATATTAACATCTTTATATCAAGTACATAAGACTAAAATTGTTGAAAACATGCTAGATACCAAGAACATGACATCTTACTCTTAACTCATGACATCAAGCATAATAGGATGGGAAGCATTTTCTAATTTTGACGAAACATTATCCTTACATAGAAGGATACAGCATTAGGCATAACTTAGACAAATATTTCTAGTTTTGACAAGACAATATTCTTACTATAGAACCGCACAACATGAGCATCACGTTACAATTAATCTTTAGATTACATAGAAATTGAGATAACATCCACTCCATTTTTCTCGATAAATTCTTGATCACCCTCTCTTTGTGAGGGCTACCGTGAAATTGACATATTTGGTCTTCTCCTTCTTGAGATGTTCTGCAACGTTCATGGCATATCTTGAGAACAAAGCATCCATTACTGCACCTCCGAAATGATTCGCAAGCATGGGCTCCATTACGGCTCTAATAGTTTTCATCGCATTTTCTCCGCTTACGAAACTATCCGCAACAAAATCATCCATTTGATCATCAAAAGGATCCCAATTTAGCTCGAAAACCTTTGCTTGGTAAAATTCAAATGATCCTTCATTTTGAACCAATTCCTTTACTTCCTCTATAGCAGGTGCATATAGCGGTAGATCAAATGCATCCACTTTTTCCTTGTCTACAACTCCCTGATTTCAGTCGATCAAAATAAATTAGTATGTAGTCATCAAAAAAAAAAATGTCACACGTTCAACAAGAGAAGTAACTTCACATGCCTCTGATACTAAAGAATTCAATGCTTTTGCTAATAATCCATTAAGACAGTTCACTTCCCCTCCTAATGGATCTATATCACTCCTGCCTAAAGCTGTTATGACCATTTGCCCCCCAGATACAATCTCCTTCGAGCGCAAACTGAGAAATGTTGAGAAATCTTGTTTAAATTGTGCAACATATGATTTAATCACAGCAGGGGGACTTGTATCATCTATATAAATATTTCCTCTATTTACTAGAGCTCCTGAATCATCTTCAAGTCCTCGAGGTACCTATCGCATTTCATTTAGTTCTTGATTGAGAAAAAGGGTTAACTGTGGATAGACCCCTTTGCATATATTGTTGCTTTCAGCCTAATAACCCTCTAGTTTTATTTTTGCAGATAGACCCTGACTCTTTACCCTGAAAGAAGAGAATTATTTTTTGAGAAACATGCTCCATGAAGATAAAAGAGTCGTTCTATCAGAAAAAATAAAATTGGAGAGCAGTAAGCTCAAAACATCGATACGACAGGGTCTATCACCGCAAAAAGAAGTAATAATTTGAAAGCATAATGATTAATGAGAGCTAATATAACCTGAGATAGCCAGTGAAGGCTATACGAGGAGTGCACAAAATGAATGCTCTCCTTTGGTAACAACCTTCCATAAAAGGATCCAGGAACTCCAACAACATAATATGGTGCATATTTGCTACCTTTCTCTTTTTTAACCATTTTATCGTACGTCGGCAAGTACTTGAATATAGAATTGAAATCGTTACCAGGGAGATCATTCAAGAAGAACGTAAGCTCCGGCACTTGACAGCTTAATCGGTGGCAAACCTCATAAATTTCGTCCATGATCTCGGAGATGGTGATGAAAGTCGTAGGCCCACATGAACAACCGAGATCAGCTATGGTTAAGCTTTCAGTAGGTTGGAGCTTGCAGTATAATTGAGATATGCTCTGTTGGACTATGGGCTTAGCTATGTGCATTGCTTTTTTCTAGAGACAAGCAGCAAATATATAATGTTATCTGGGAAGAAGCTTGAAAGCTTTATAGAATCATTTGAAATTTAAAGAAGTTTGATATGAAGTTTAATTAATGTTTTATGAATGGTTTTAAGCTTGCACAATCAATTTGTTGGGATTTTCAGGTAGATTTCAGAAACACCCAAGAAGTTTAGCCATTGCTGACGTTATTGCCAAATTTCTTTTTAAATTTCACTTTAACCTTCAATAAGTTTGAGAAGTTTAGAAAAGCCCGCAACACTTTTAAATTTTCTTGCTTAATTCCAAAAAAGAATTAAGCCACAAATTTTCAGGGATGAAAGTACTCCCATAACCAATACTCTCCTCTTCTATTTATCTGAAATGTAATAGTCATAAAAAAAAAACTCAAAAATCTCAACATCTTGTAATGGAGGTTTTGTTAAAATAGTGTGAACTATTTTGGGTTTTGTTCCTTTTTTTTCCCTTTACAAATGTCAAAAGTTATGAGGTATAGTCATTTTTCGGCATGTGTTAAGTTGAGCGTTTACTTACAAAATTTACTGGGGCTTAAAATTCCATGGTTTTGGAGGTCATCTCACAAACACTGTGTCGCGCGCCGTGCGGAAACTTGCTCGACAATCAAACGAGTCGGTGAGCGATGAGAGAAGAAAACCAAAACCAAACACGAGTGCAATTCACAAACGAGTCGGTGAGCGATGAGAGAAGAAAACCAAAACCAAACACGAGTGCAATTCACAAAAGTACGACACAAATCAAACCACAAACACAGGAATTTAAAACCAAAACCAAACACGAGTGCAATTCACAAAAGTACGACACAAATCAAACCACAAACACAGGAATTTCTTCGCCGTTTTCACACACTGAACTTAATTACTCACGATTTTCTACAATTTACCTCTCTTTTTTTTTGAACAAAAGGCATAGACATATTCCACAAACTAGGATTTTCGGACGATTATTTTAGTGATTCTCAACAATTTTGTACTAACAACAATTTTAGTCTGACCAATTTTTTTTAAAAGTTTATGGAAGGTACAGGAACTT